GGATATTCCTCACAGCCCCTCTCCCACTTGGTGGAGAGATGATGGAAAAAGGAAACAGAAAAGCAGCTCTTGCCATTGGCAGCTGGTGAATGTGCCTGTCATCTCTGCTGAAAGCTAGGTGACAGCTGTGGAAGCTGTGACATGGAATCTAAAAACTGGGACTAGTGCAGACAAACTGATAAATGGATTTCCACTCTCTCAGCCCCCTCCTCCCTCTTGTGTTTTATAAATGACAAGGTAAGGGGAAGGCTCCAGCTCAGACTGGGCCAGAGGAGGTCTGGGCAAGGCAGGTTGGAGCCCTGTTAGTGAAAACTCCAACCCAGGTGCTGCACAGCCTGCACACAACCCAGCTGTGCCCTACTGTGAAAATCAAACCTCTGAGACTTGGGGGTACTCCCAGGAGCCATCCAGATGGGGCTTGGCAGAAATACCATTCAGGAGGAGCTGTCCCTGGCTGCACTGGGCACAGAACTCCCTCCCCAGCCCCTAGCTGAGCCTTCCACAGAGTGCCAGTTCCCCATGAAAGTTCTGCTGCTGCGAGGTGGCTTCATCCTCACCTTGAGTAACACAAAGCTTTCCATCCTTCCTCCCCAGCACGTGGCCAGGGGAGATGGCAGAAATAAAACCCTCAGCTGCTATCCTGGGAAACCTCCCTTATTACACCTGGTGCACAGCAAAAAAAAAAAAAAATGTAAGTGCATGGCCTTGCCCCACCATCCACATGGGGCTGGAGCATGTGTGCAAGTGTTCTCCTGCCTCAGGTTCTAAATCTTGTACAGTGTCAATGCTGCAATATTCCTGAAGAAGTTCCCAGAGCCAAGTATTTATCACCCCCATGAACAAGTAACAAGGCACCTTGCTCTGACTGGAGATGTGCTAGCACTTCCAGGAATGATTGTGTGTGATGTGAACTCAGCCTCTGGTTCAAAATATTGTGCAGAGGAATAATAAATCTCAGTACTAAATTGCTGTCCCATTTAAGCTTTGATTAGACTCTGATGGTCTGTTCACCCTGGAGCTGCTGGTATTAATCTGCATGCTAAACCCTAATTATAAACTGCTCGTGGCATTTCCAGATGACATCAAGATGTTTGGGATTAAAAGAAACCCTGATGCTGAGTTTACAGCTTGGAAGGACTGTAGACTACCTGATCCCCACAGATGTAATAATGCACCTCTGTGTGGGGAGGAGAGAAAAAAGGGGGGTTTGTCCAAGTGTGTAGGAGTTTGTGAGGGACAGGTCTGGCTCCAGACCCCGATACCTGCACACACCCCCAAAATCTCCCCCACACCTGTAAAGGGATGTGAGATCCTGCAGGTGCTCCCTGTCTCCAGCTCCACACAGATCTTATCCAGCTCTGCCTGCAGCAAGTGCAGAAGGGCTTGAGGCCAGGCACGAGAGCAAACCAGCGTGATGGGATGACTGGGGGAAACCTTTTTGGGGTGGAAGAATTCTGGTTTGGCTCCACAGCACTGCAGCGTCAAGGAGTCAGCAGTGGGGATATCACTGGTCTGGGCATGGGACATTGTGGATGCAGGCTGAGAAGAGGCAGAGAGATGCTCTGAATCAACGCCTCTCATCAGCTCTCCCCTAAGGAGCTGTGGCTGTTTTGGGTGAAGGGCTGTGTTGGATCAATCCCTCTCCAAAGCTGCCATGGACCTAGGAGAGGAGTAAACATCATTTGTGCCCTCCTGCCCACTGAATCACCAATCTAAACTGCTTGTACCCCATCCAGGCACTCAAGAGAGCAAAGCTGGAGGGCATTCAGCACGTCTTCAAATAGCTGAGCACCTTCCACGGAGCAGGAATAGATGGTGTGTGCATTTTGGTCAGGTTTCCTACAGGCACTTGTTCTGGCTGTCAGCTCCTGCTCCTCACTTCCTCCCTGCATTATTATTTATTTTTTTCTTTATTTCTAGGATGAAACACATTTGGCAGATTAAAAAAGGGCTCTAAGACTTTACACACTGAAAATGAATTAGGAGAGACCCGAAGGACTTTCCCTCACTGAGCAAAACACTTCTTCACCTCAGGGCTGTGACACACACCTGAGTATCACAGGTTCTTCTGCCTGGTTTCTTTTATTTAAACCCAGGTGGAAGAAAAGCTATTCAGAGCACCTGAAAGAAGGGGGCAATCTATGCTACAAAATGTGGTGTTGATGGTCAGTGAAGAAGGTTTGTCTTTCTCAGTGCTTTGCACCTTCCTGCATCCCACCAATGCCAACCCCAAGGTGTTTGAGCTGCCACAGGGATTTTACAGCTGCTCATCTGCTCTGGGTGTTTCTTGTTGGTTCCAAGATCCTTGAGAGGCTTGTTAGGTCCTGTTTCTGAGGGTTTATATTTGGGCAGCCCAGATTTTGGAGCTGGGAACCACAGGAGTAGCTGGTGCTGGACTTCATGGGAAACATCAAGAATCAAAACTACACTCCAGCTAGGGACTTTCTCACTGGCATTTTGGGGTGCTTGTGATTTTCCATGAGAAAAGAAAGCAGAAGCAAAATGTGCTGGTCATCTGCAGAGATGCAGATATTTGGGTTTCCCCTTCTTGAAATGCAGCTAGGGAAAGGAAAATGGGGGGGTTTGTGGTTTCTGCTTCACTTTCTCCCAGACTTGAACATGATCACAGCATAGAGGAGGTAGGTTTTGAGGCAAGGCTCCAGCTGGTGAGTCTCACTGATGTCCTTCAAAATGATAACTACTTTTGAGAGCAGGAAAGGCTAAACTGGGGTCTGGCTGTGGTGTGAGGCTGGGCCTTTCAGCTGTGGGTGCTTTACCTGGCAGATTTCTGGCTGTTTCAGGACTTTTGGGCTTTTTCTTCTTCACCCTTGGCAGAAGTAGCTCAGAAGCTCCTGCCCTGCTGGGAGTGTGAGCAGAAGACAAGCATTTTCTGGACAGCTGGGAAAGGGAGCAATGGGGCTGGAGAGGAAAAGTGGGATGGGAAGATGGGCAGGAAAGGGAGTTACCTGTGCAGCTTGACAGCAGAGCAACGGTGAGGCAGGAAATAAATGTCTGATCAACTTCTTGATGGCCTGTGGAATGCTAAAAGGGTAATAATAACAGAGATAATTGAGAGATGAACTGCAGCTCTGTGCAGTTTTGAAGGCTGCCCACTGCTCCCAGTCTCCTTCCTTCTGGGACAGACAGAGTTGTCAGAGTTCCCACTGGATTTAGCTCGTCCATCCCACCCAGTGACAGAAATGCAGTGGTGTTGCAGGAGGCACCTGGGAAAGGAGGGCTTCAGGTCACGTTCAGAATGTGAATCAGGCACCTTATATTGGAATTAAGCCTCAGTCTTGGAGCTGGGCTCTTCCTCTTCCCAGGGGAAATTCAGACTGCATTCCCAAAGCCAGGGCTGGGAGGGAGCATTGTCTGAAGGATGCACTTAAGACATGGGGAGATCTCATCAGGGATGTCAGTGATGCCACTGCTGAAGGTGGCACAGAGACCTCTTGGTCTGGTTTCTGTGGCTCCTGCTGACACCCCCAAGGCTGAGAGCAGACCCCAGTGCCCGTGGAAAGGGATGTTTGTGGCTGGGTCTCTGCAGCACCCACTCAGGAAAGCCAGCTGCAACATCCACCTGAAGCAGATCAGGGAAAAAGAGGGTAAAGCCCAGCTCACCAAGAAAGGAGGCAGCAGCCAGGTATTTGGGAAAGGCAGAGAAAAGGGCATTTCATGATCAGGGTGTGTACAGGTGACCACTCACCCTGCCTTGCCTGAACCCAGAGAGCCAGGGTACAAGATGCCAGTATACAAAAACCAGTCAGACACAGCTTTGCACACCCATGTGAAGGCACAACTCCCTCCCCATCCAACATGTGAACACATACCACAGGACAGCACGCAAATCCTCCCTCAGATGCAGAAAAAGTCACTCTGTGCTGCATACAGAGATGCACCCACAGCATTTTGGGTGCTTGTACACCCACACTCTCCTGTGCACACGCACGACTTGTCCCAAAGTTGGGGGTTTTTTTGGCCTTTCCACCCAGTACCCATCAGTTTTGTCTACCCCCCGAACAGGGAACAGCAGAGTTCTGCAGCCCTGCCCTGCTCTTTTGGGTCTTTGAGACTGCAAAGGGTAAACTG